ATCGACTCAATGACGGTGAGCACAGAGGCGAGACAAACACTGCATCATTAGTCGTTTGAATGTCCACGCGATAAAAAGACGGCCTACATGATGCCAATCAAGAAGAGGCCAATAACAGCAAGCTTCTCAGGAAGTGGTAGATGTAACTTGACGAGTTCAATAACTGGCAAGACCAGGATAACGACATCCATTATACAGTGGGTTAAAATCGTGCCGAAGAAGAAGTGTGACTCGTTTATGGCGCAATAACCATGAATCGACTTATCCCAAAAGTACTGGGTGGGTAGGCATTGGAAGGAAACCATAAATGTCCGAAGAATGGTCCACATGACGGACAAGGTAAACATAATCTGAATCGGAATTCGAATCGAAGACAGCTTGAATAAACGCCAGTAGAGTGTCAGGATTGTGAATTTCGTGGAGGCAATCGAGAAGGCGTAGCAGAACTCGGAGCAAAACATGAGACGCCTTGCGTGAACAAGTACTCCCTCTCTCTGCTCTTCAGTAAGGGACGGATCGAGGGTTCGACCAAGGTTCCAGAGAGCAGCCCCTAGAAGGCAGTCAGCATAGGCAGAATTGGTTCAAGATTAGTTCTAACATATTATGATGATGATGCTGTAAGCGCTCGCAAATGTCTCCTGGTGTAAGCTTGGAAGCGCAAGTGTAGGTTGGTGTGCTCACAAAGGCGCACGCGCAAAGGTAATCATCAACCCACCACTGCTGTCTCATCACCCGCCGCGCGATCGCTCGAAGGATCAGCGCCACAAAGGCGGCAACCCAGGTGGTGGTTACGGCGATATAGATGTTCGTTTGAGCGTCAGCCATTGCTATGTTTCTGAGCTCAACAGGTCGTAGTGGTCAAAGGCTTCACAGTGAATTGTTTTCGTACCAGGGTATTGGCCACAGAATGATCAGACACCGAGCCAAACAAGTAAAGAAACAGGGTGGGTGGCGTGAGAAGCGCTCCTGGGATATCGGCTTTTATTGACGATTACGATATACAGTAGTTACTATTTTCTGCTAGTTAGTTAATACAGTATTAAGCGATGCGTTCAAAGTACTCAGCTTCGGGCATCTGTGCTGCAAGATTGCAAGTTTCCCTGGAGAGCGAAGACAAGGTACGGTGTAGTATGTATCGGAACGCAGAAAAGAGGTCTATCAGAAGGCTTGGCGACAGGATCGATTGTTCTGTCGGTGGCTTGGCTGCCAGGCACGGATTTCAATGGCCATGGGGAGTCGGCTTGTGTCCGCGTTCAAGTTTGGTCGATAGGCTCACCCCTGACGATTCGGCGACTACCACTACCTTAGTGATATTGCATGCATATACGAGCATAGCCAGCGCATTGACACGCACTGACTCAAACCCCAAACGTTCCGCCAGCCCACCCCGGAACTGCCGTCAATCGGAAGGCCGCACTCGGGGCTCTGGCCCAGCTCGTCATTGTCCCAAACTCTCCTACAATTCCGCCCAGAGCTGTACGCGCTTATCGGCGCTATCAACTACACGGCCAAAGGCATCAATAATAGCCTCTGCCACGGTTCCATCCAACAGCCTGTCTCGAGTGCCAATTTGTGTGCATTAGGATACACTGCAGAAGGCTACAGTCGTCACCATCTAAGTCCATCGATCTGCTGATGCCTGGACAGCTCCAAATCACAAAGCATTCCTTAGTAATTGCGTTAAATTTGTTGATCTCGACGCCAAGGAGACATTACAGGCCATGTTGGCATTGTCAGAGACTCCGAGCTGCCAGGCCTCGATGGGCCACGTAAGCATGGCGGAGCTGCTGAGCCAGAAAGCTTCTGCGGCACGATCTCGAAGACTATATCTGGAACAAGATCGACTTCTACCCCGGCGACAACCACAGCTCCAACGACAAGGTCTGCCGCGAGGGGCATCAATTGGGAGCGACGAGAGCAGAGGATTCGATGCCATGGGCGCATGGTCATGCCATTATGATCGCTGTTCAGGCCTTTCCTTTCATGGACTCCACAAGGAAGCTGCACGAGCCGCTCTAGAGCAGATTGAGGGCGACGACGACGTTGTGTTGGGCGCCGACTTTGCACACAGAGTCAAGGTGCAAAGAGCGCTAGTGTGGGTGGCATCTAGTGAGGCCCCTGGGCAAAATCCAACAGCACAAGTAACCCATGGAACACCCCCTTGCCGGGAGGACTTCTTCGCGGATACACCATTTGTGATGGACTCAAGGGCTTTATGAATATCAGAGTCGGTATACTTGAACATTGATCACTGAGAATAAGTTCGAGAACTTTGGAACTGATTGGAGTAACATTGGCAGAGACATGATGAGTGGACTCGCGGATTTTGCGAGGTGCCGGGAACGGGGATTGCCGGTGTCAAAGCGTAAGGGTTGTGGGTTGTATTAGCCTTGACCACTGCCCAAGGCAAGAGGACGAAGGTCCCAGACTGTCAGACAACTGGGCCCACTGGGTCCATCTTTGGTATCAGTCAATTCATGAGAATTATTTGAAGAGCTCGAGCTAGACGCACGTCAAAGCGCGGCTCTTTATAGACAAAGAAGAGACCTGCTTTGTGGTGCAGAATCCTTGGATATGAGGCTGTCGGCGATGCCCGGCACAGCCCGTGTTTGAGCTTTGACCTCAACGAGGGTCCAAAACAACACGCATGCAGACGCTCGACCTTAACATGCGTGTTATAGTATCCGACTTCCATGCACAACCTTGCTGAGTAAGTATGGTATACGGCCCGAGCCTGGCTGGTTGTGCGACACAGACTTATATACACGGAGATCCCAAGTGGGTCCGGACGCATCCTCGACTAGAGCGGAGCATCGATTGCAGCCGGGATCTATGTGCCGGGACTTAAGTCGAACTGCAACTTGGCTGGTCTTTGAAGGGTTAGCTGTCAATCTCCTGTCGCCCCTGCACCTGAATCCCGCACTTGTCACATCCCACAGGCGTTGTGGTGATATTCGTCGCAATCGGCTTGGCAAGGATCTGGGGTCAGACACGGCGTCCGGTTGTCATGGCGGCCCGCCGGGTCATCAGTGGCGTTCCCTGCCCAGTGGCTTGAGGTACTGTACAAGGCTCGGGTCTTGATGCAGAATAAGTCAATGTCTACCTTTCCACAACAATAGGGCCATGACAATCATCATTTACCAAGGAGCCACGCCCCATCGCGTCGTGACACGCGTCCCCAAGGCATCCAAGCACGATTCCATGCTGACCGTACGCCGGGAGGCGTCGTTGTCATGCCCACGCCTTGTGCCCCTTTACAGAGCGAGAACACCGAGAACCAGCATAGCGAGGCTACCGACGAGGTCAAACGTAGCGGCGCCGGCTGTGACGCGGCCAGAGGTACTGGTGCTCGTTTTCCGATCCCAGAACTATCCCAACAGCCTTGTCCACAGACGGCCCATCAAAAGGCACGAGGGAAGTTGTCACGAAACCAGTAAGTTAACCTCGTATGTTACGTACTGTACAGTACTGTACAGTACTGTATGTAACTTACATGATGGTACGGTACATTATTGACCATCTGATCTCTGGTCATCAAGGTTGTGCCGCCGCCCTCGCGCGTTATGTGGTGGGCCTACGTCACCCAGCCGTGGCTCATTGACCGCAGCATGCGCAGCTGGTCGCGTCCGCACGGCGCCACAACCTTGGCGACGAAATTACAAGCATATCTCTAGGCGTCTAGCGAGATTACACTATCCGCCTTTTCGTATTTGCTGATCCCGACACTAACGAAACTGAGTACCGGCCGCGTCATTTCGTCGGTGCCAATATACATAGCCCTCAATTCGATGCTGAGCGTCCAACATAAACCGTGGAAGTGCACGGAGCATCAGCTTGGCAACTGTGAGAGTAGCCGTCGACAGCAGAGCCTGGATGGCCATTTTCGCGAGTACAAGTAAGCCTATTTCTGGGTAGCATAGTTATTTTGATTCCTGCTGAAGATTTCGTTGAAGGCGGTGACGGCGGCATCAACGGTCTTCCGGCACGGAGTGAAAGGAACACGGGCGATGGCCACAGCAAGAGGTGGAGGCGAGCAAGCCTTATTCTCGTCTTGCTTTTTGTTGCAGTCGCAATTGTTGCTGGAGTCGTCGGGCCTCTGGTTGCCCGCAAAACTGGGGATGCCGAAGACCGGCGTAAGACCGGCGGCTCCAGTCCACACGACAACAAGCAGCCTGCAACACATATTTCAGTTGGGTTGGCCTGCTGTCAGTTGGACTCAAGGATGCACACCACTCAATTCAAGCCAAAGAGCTACCTCAGTTGCGTTGAGTTGACAGATCCACTGTCCTCTCCAGTGGCGTTGATCAATTGGAGGTCAAACCGAGTTGAATGCCACCCAGTTGACCTGTCAACCTATTCCCACGTCTCGTCTTCTGCTCCTGCCGCTTGCCTGCGATGAATGTCTTGCGAATTGGCGTCATTCCTGTCGCGTCAATCAGCCCTCAGTGGCTCTCTATTTCGATGGAAAGGCACTCCGCTGCAGGGGATTTGCTGGAATCGTGACACCCGTACCGCCAGCGAGGTTTGACTGGCTGTGACATCGGTGAGGCCGCATGATGAGCCAGAAACCGGATGGTGATGAGGCATTCCCATCTCAAATACAACCGTCGGTTGGAGAGATCACTGTGTGCGTCATGGGGCATTGTTGCTAACAAGTACCACTCGATGCAAACACTTGTGTTCTCCGCCTGCAATTATGTTTCTCTCAATCTCTCTCTCAACGACTGAGGCCGGATCACAAGTTGACCATGTCCAGTCCGGGTTCAACTACACCCCCAATTACAAATACACACCCATATCATAGCCGCCGCCAACAGAGCGCCCACAAGGGGCGTGATGCTGTTCCTCAAGTCTCTGCTTCTCTGCTATATTGGCCCCCATTTTCCCGTCAATACTTCCCTGCCATTATATTCGCAATCTTGGACAGCGGAGACCTAGCAGGCTGACCCGCAAGGCCATCCTGCGGGAGACAGACGGGACCGTCCATCATGATGCCCGATTTAGGACACGGCAACGCCAAAGGCGACGAGGCCAGCGGCGAGGGAGACGGTGATGAGGGTCGAGTCGGCGGCCTTGTTGCCGGCGCTCTTCTTGGTGGTGGTGGCGGACGCGCTGGCTGAGGTGCCGCTCGCCTTGCCACTGCCCGTAGCGGACGCGCCGGTCGTGGTCGCGGCCTTGCCGCCGGTGGCCGTGCTACCGACCGACGTGGAGCGGGCGCTGTTGCTGCTGGCGGTGGTGCTCTGCTGCGCGGCAGCGAGGCCGAGGAGCATGAGCACCACGGCGAGGAAGTTGTAGAACTTGGGGGCCATCATCTTGGGTGGTTTGGGGTTCTTCGTGTCGAACGGGCGAGCTCGGGAGGCTGTAAACGCGTCAGTTTCGTGATTGCACGTATTGTCTTCCATCGTTGATTGTCGCCTTACATGGGATTAGGTGTTGGATTCTTGGAAGGAGAGTAGTCTTGATACAGTAGTGTCTTCTGCTGAAGGATAGGACCAATTCGTCAACACGGGACTGGCATCGGTCTTACATATTTGAGGACCGTCCCCGCTGCGGCTCATGACCATTGCGCCGCAATTACTTTCTTTCCCGGGAAACAGCAAGTTTCAGTACGGTGCAAGCCGTACGGCGCCGTTCACTTCGGCCAGGGCCCGAAGCGACTCGGTGGCAGGGCTCCCAACCGAGGACACAGCCTTGGCCGCAGCGGCTCCCCCATTCCAAGGCGCAAGGATGACAGTCATCAAATGATCGTAGCCTCGTACGATGATGCCGTCGCGTCCGTGTTGATAGTCGTTAAGATTTTCACCTTTATGGACAGCGCGATGCATGCCACACGTATCCTGTATCATGAAGGGCCGGCGTATGGGGGCATTGACGTATCTGCGTCTCAGCGCAGCCGCTTTTTCCGGCTCACAAGTCACAAACCGCAACTGTCCGTGCGAACCTGATTCATTGAAACAAGCCCAGTTGCAGTCCGTACGGCACGCGCATCCTCCGCTACGATTCTTGTTTTGCTTGACTCTTGCGCCTACCTACCCTGAAACCTCCCCCCAACGGCCGGCCATCGTCCGAGGCCCCCGGAATTCCGTAGGTGAGGCTGAGCAGTGCCGCCGGGCTGCCGCGTGGGGCCGGGCCGAGAATGTTTCAGGAAGCCGGGCGAAGGGCGCGAGACAGCGGGAGGACAGAGCTGACGGAGCAGCTCCGAGCTACAGAAGAACGTCTTGCAGTGGCCCAATCGTCACTCTTTTCCAGCGGTTTCAATTTGCAACTTGCAGCCGCGACTCCCAGCCCTGCCTCCACTGTTTGTGCTGTGGAAGCACGCCCTGCTGACCCGATATCCGGTGACAGTCGGACGCCTCGGCCCGGCTTGTGCCCTTGGCAACTAGCTGCGGTGTAGTATGGTGACTGAGAAGTTGAACGCGATCCGCCACGCGGGTCGTAGGGTTTTCAGAGGTAATCTCACGGTGGGATGGAGGCGAAAAGGTATCGAGCAAGTTGCAATACTGACTTATGGCGGCAGTGTTGTGTGAGAGATAACGCGAGTTGTTTCATAGAAGTCGCTGTCCCTACTCCAGAATCGTTGGTTTGTTGGTGGGTGTATTTTTCGTCCAGTGGCCCTGAACGTCTCTCAGGGCGCTGAGGGGCAACGGACGCGTTGGGTTAGCTTATCTATGGCGGGTCCGTTGGACATTATCCCCTCGCGTCCCCACTTCTCTAGTCGCAAAAAGTAAGCAAACCACCATGATAGCATTTCATCAGCCCTGAGGCACTCCATGTTGAGCCTGGTAACCGTCGTCCGGTTGGCCAGGCACGGCGCCCGGGTACGCCGCTCGGTAGGCCT